TTGCCCGCGGAAAACTTTCTAGCCTCAGGCTAGCTGATCTCCAAGGTGTACACTAGCTAGCGTATCCTCCCGCCACCTCCCTCAACACCTCCAGGGAGTACGTAGCAAGCCTAGCTTTAGCTAACTGGCTTCACACAGTAGCACGGACAACACGAACTTCTCTCTTTTTAGCGTTGTGGCGAAGTCCCGCGTTAGCCCGGAAAAGAACTCTAGCCTTCGGCTAGCTAATCTCCAGGGTGGGTTGGGCGGGCACTCGAAAATTGCCCCCCAATAGCAGGGGGCCTTTCAGCACAACGGCCACGGAGTAGCTCACGTTCCACCGGCCATGTGCAGGCACTCTAGCAAACAGACTGGCTTCGTTGTGTTTAGCTTCGGAGGAAAACCCATTCGACGTTTTCTAGCGAAACACCTTCGATGTTTCACACAAGGATACTAGCGCTAGCATACACGGTCGTACCTCGTCCCTCGGCACGAGTGCGTACACTAGCTAGCGTATCCTCCCGCCACCTCCCTCAATACATCCAGGGAGCACGTAGCAAGCCTAGCTTTAGCTAACTGGCTTCACACAGTAGCACGGACAACACGAACTTCTCTCTTTTTAGCGTTGTGGCGAAGTCCCGCGTTAGCCCGGAAAAGAACTCTAGCCTTCGGCTAGCTAATCTCCTAGCGCAGCCGTAGGGCTACCAGGGACCAAGCTTTCGGGCCTTTTTAGCGAACCTCGGAGCCTTTGGCTCTCCGGTCCTCTTCCTCACTCCTAGCTCTTGAAAGTAGCTAGCCGAGTGTTCGAGGAGGGGGCCCAGCACACGCCACTCTAGCTTCTCCCCCTCCAGGTCCAACCTGAAGTCCGGGGAGAAGACGACAACAAGACCCGATGCGCTGTATTCACGAAGGTGACCCCTAGCGGGATGCGTTTGCTATACGTAACATGGCAGCACATCAAAACCAGCCGTTCCACATGTAGACGCTTGATTCCACAAGCACCCGATCGAGACACACATAAGTGATCATCCATAACATCGGAGCACACCAAAACCAGCCATTCCAAATTCCCAATGTAGACGCTCAATTGCACAAGCGAACGCTCGAGATACACACAAAGTCATAACATCACAGCACATCAAAGCCAGCCGTTCCCCATGTGACGCTCGATTCCACAAGCAACCGATGGAGCACCCATAACATCTCACAGCACATCAAAATCAGCCATTCCCCATGTAGACGCTCGAACAACCAGGCAACCAGTGTTCCGAACGCAAACACATTCCGGACATTCCGCAACTGGACGCCTCGATTAAAAATGAGACAACAAGACCCGACACATACGCAAATGCTGCGTTCACGAAGGTGACGCCCCTAGCGGGACGCCTTTCGCATGCGCGGGACGACTTAGGTCATGCACCCAGTAGCTGGTTCAGATCCCTGCGGATCCACTGTAGCTGTAGCTCACAGTTCTTAGCGGAGAGTTCGTCTGCTAGCTCCATCAGCACCAGGGCCGACAGGAACTTCGTCGTCATAGCCTTCTTCAGTAGCGCCTCGTTGGACTGGTTGTCCGTGTACCCTCTGATAGCGACTCTCGAAGTCTTTTTAGCGTTCCCCTCCGGAACCCAGAGCTTTACTCCAACCAGAGTGGCTAGCAGTTCTAGCGCCGCGATGACCTTGTTCGGGTCACCCTTAGCGAAGGCCCAGGGTGCCCACTCCTTCTTCACCTCTAGCGAGAACCAGGGTCCATGGCAGCCGTCGAAACCGCCAATCCAGGCCCGGCCGTTTTCTGCCACTTAGCGTCAGTGTATAGAAGGACAGCGGTGCCGCTCCTTCCAGTAACGGGGCTGGCCGTTGCAGGCGGCCGCCAGACTCCACCAACCACAGAGCACCCGGATCATCGTGGCTCGCGTCAGGTAGCCAGGCTTCGCCTGGATTCCACCCGAAACCCCCCCCTCGTCTTGGACCATTTGAAGGGGTAGCCCAGACTAGCGAGGAAGAGGTAACTTAGCGGGATCCCCATACGGCCCCTAGCCCCTCGGCCCAAGGACTCGAGGTCGTCGGCATAGAGAAGCATGTCTAGCGGGAACGATGGCCCTAGCAGGTGTACGTGAGCCGAAGCCCGCATGCTGCTATACGGGTCCACTAGCTAGCGCAGGATAGCCCGAAGGTCCCCACCACATTCACGTAGACCGTCTGTTGGGGTCCCCCTTCGGTGTCGATCTGACCCCCCCGGTCTATCGTCGTGCATCATCCTCTTCTTCCCACGATAGCTTCGTCCTCCACGATAACCGCTAGCGCGGCGATGGCTCTATGCTCGCCGTAGCGGGCCTTGAACTCTCCTAGCGTCATCTTAGCCATGAGGCCCTCGGCAACGTCCTCTTCAAACTTCTCCCTACCAAACTCCCGGTATTCGTCCACCGAGGAGTAGTTCGGGACCCAGGCTAGCGCGGCCTCCCAGGGAGCGTTCTCCAGCGGCCACTTTATAGCTGTTCCTCAAAAACATGTGGCGTGCGAGGTGTGGGTCCCGGACGCCCACGGGTAGCCCCTCCTCCGCCTGAAGGAGGAAGTCCCGGTCCGGATCACCATTAGCGGCCGCCAGTCCAGTCAGAGGCGATCCTCTTCGTGAGCCGCTTGACCATCTAGATCGAGATCTCCTTCCGGCTCCGAGCGTACTTCAGGACCAGCTGACTCGGATCCTTCCAGTTCGCCTGGAGCCCTATCTCCTTGTCGGGCTCCTGTGCCTGGACCGCCGCCGCGAGCAGCGTGACTCGGCACGAGTGCCAGGTGATCTCCGGCACGATCTTCAGAAGCTCTTTGAGCTGCTCAGGCGCGATATGCCCTCTCTTCAGATCATCCGATGCTGCAGTAGTGAGAACATACCGCAGCCACAGAATGCTCCGTTGGTAACTCGCGGGTCGATCGGCAAACCGCTCAGCCGATTCGAGCTCCTTCATGAAATAGTCGCGATCGTCCATCTCGAACGAAGCTGCGTGCCACCCGTCTTCCATCCAGTCGGATCCGGAGACGGAGACCCTGGCCGCTGCGAACCGCGTTCCTTTCTTCTGCCGCTCGACCTTGGTTTGCCAAACTACCCCGTAAAGAGCCTCGTCCTTCAAGACGAGCGTCTCGGGCACGACGCGGAGGGCATCGTCGAACCTAAGGGACGAGTAGATCATCACGAGCACCCACCATGCGAAGAAAGCCATGGAGAACTGGCTCGACTTAAAGCGAGCGCTCACAAACCTCTCGAGCGCGGCCACCAGGACCAAAGGAATAGGAACTGCCTCCCGAGTCTCCTTCCCTCGATCGCCGTACACCTTCTTCTGCAAGGCCATGATCCGGGGATCGAGGAGATCCGGCACCTGCATACCGATCCGTTTGCAGATCCATTTGACCGCCCCGCGGACCGAAGGTATAACCGTGGGGCCGCATCCTCGATCGGAGAGGTTCAAGAGGTACTTAACGAGCACATCGGTGGACAGCGGGATCGCCGAGACATTCTGCGACCGAGCCCACGTCTCCATCCGCTCGCAGTGACGAACGCACTGTTGGATAGTACGGAATCCGCCACTTTCGAAGACGATCACCCTCAGCGCGTTCATCTCGTCCTGGGATAGAGGAGATCCAGGCTTCGGGTTGCCAGCGATCGCCGCGTGCTCGCCGCACCTCTCCACGATCGCTTTCAGCCTCATACCCCACTTCCGTGCCTCTCCGAGCTCCCGAGCTTTGAGCGAAGCTTGTTGATCCTCGGCCCGTGGCTCGATCGACCTCGGCCTCTTCGCGAGTGGCAGAGGCATCGGAGGCTCGCTGCCTGTCCCCTTCGATCTCAGGGGTTATATTATATTATATTATATTATATTATATTATACTATATTACATTATATTATACTGTATTATATTATATTATATTATATGATATGATATGATATGATATGATATTGTAGTATATTATATTATATGATATGATATTCTATTCTATTATATTTTATTATATTATATTATATTATATTATATTATGTTCTATTATATTTTATTATATTATATTATATTATATTATATTATATTATATTATATTATATTATATTGTGTTATATTATATTTTATTATATTATATTATAGTATATTATATTATATTATATTATATTATATTATATTATATTATATTATAATATATTATATTATATTATATTATATTATATTATTTTATATTATAATATAAAATAATATATGTATAATATAGTATAGTAGAATATATTATAATATTTTATTATGATGCGAGACAGCTCTTGTCTGGAGGGTATATGTATAAAATAGTATTCGTAGATGTAGAGATGTATAGTTGCGGGTTGGGATCCCAGCCCCGGCCCTCGTGTCTCCTCCCCGCGCCCTTGGGCGCAGTCCCAGGCCCATGTCCATGCCGCCCGTTCCTAGGAAACAGGAGAAGCCACGGCCAAAAAAAAAAAGCAAAATAAAAACAATAAAAAATGAAAAAAAAAAAAAAAAACCTCCGATTCAAACCTGTACCATTACCGTTCTCCCTCATGCAGTTTCTGCACAGAATTCGGTCGGATAACCTTTGAGGGTCTAGGGTCAGCCGTTGACCAAGGAATGCGCCCTTAATGCCAAGTGGCTCAGGGTCTAGGGTGCTGGGTTTGCGCTTCCAAACCCTGAAACCCAAAACGGTAGCTAAGGCTATTTGATAGAACCGTGAAACTCAAAAAACCCTTGAGGAACCCGTAAAGAGCCCTTCAGGGAACTTCTTAACCCTAACCCGAAACCCCGAACCCTAATCTGAGGAACTTCTAAACTCTAGTTTGGCTTAATATGTGGGGCTGACCTATGGCCTGCTGAGGTAATCCTGGGTTTAGGGTTTATTGTTGTTTTAGGGCTTTAAGGATCGGAGTCGAGGGCTTGGGGAGGTTTTATAGGGTTTTAAAGATCAGAGTGTGCGGGTTTGGCAGCTTTGGGGGTTTTGGGTGAACCCTAAACCCAAATCTCGCATCCAGGAGCAGCGTTTCACCCATCTCGTGCGCAGCATCCAAGTAAATGAAGTCCGCCAAGGGGACGTCACCCCTGACCTGCCGACGTCGGCGTTAAAACCCCTACAGGAACCCTATCCAATCAGAGTGAAGCACAATATACGTGCCTCAAGGATTTGGGTTTTGGTGGCTGTATTCGACTAAAACTGACCACGGCGCCCTCAGGAACGCTGTTGAATACTACCACTCCTTATTCAAGCCCTTATGATACGGCGGCGTAGGGTCGAAAAATTGGTGTTCAACAAACTCTTGAATCTAAAAGCTTGCTTCTTCTAAACCCTTTACCCTAAACCCTATGAAAACCCTTGCGCAGCCCTTAGAGCCCGAATAAACCTGAACAAACTCGAAAAGCCATATATTTGTATCGCACCCCCCTAAACTCATAAACCCACAAGCCCCAAACCTCGGGACATAAACCCCTTCAGATTAACACCCGAGCCTCTAAACCAAAAAACCCACACCCCTGAACTCTCTTTAACCTGAATCCCATAATCCGTAGCAAAAACGGAGCCCTTCTACGAAACCCGTCAAGGAACGCTCAACCCAGACACCCTTACAGGAACCTGCATCGGACACCGGGAGCCCTCTGCGCGAGGCCGCCAGATGGTCCAAAACACATCCCCTAAGGAATATATACCTTCGCTCATATTAGGGATCCTACCATAATTTAGTTTAGGGCTTTAGGGGGTTAGGGTTTAGGGTTTAGGGTTCCTTCGTTCCCTTATAGAGCCCTTATAGATCCCTTTATGGAGCCCTTTAAGGTCTATTCCGTCTATTCCTTTTATTAACCAGGGATACAGTAACTGAAGGTCTATTCCTTTATTAATGCTCATATTAGGGATCCTACCATAGTTTAATTGAAAATCTATGCAGGCTACTCCTGTAATTTATTGATAAGGGATATTTTTGGGAGATCTGGGCCGCCCGAGTGGCCGTGAGCCGCTGAAGGGCACGCAGGGCGCAGAGCGAGGAGAGGGGCAGCGGCAGGACGATGTCCCGGACGTCCCAGACCTGGGGCGCTTAAAAATGGGCGTAGGGATATATTACTAGGAATTAGCAACTAAGCAGAACGGCGTTTTTGAAGGTCGTTTGAGGTTTTATGGGGTGTTGTTCGGGCTTTCTGGTTCTACAGGGTTGTCATTGTGTTTAAGAAGGCGTGTATGAGGACTGCTTCGGGAAGACATCAGGATACGGTTGATGATATAAATCCTGCATTACCCATAATAAGGAATATACCGTTATTCCCATAGTTTAGGACCCTTAACCCTGAGAGGAGCACCTTAAACCCTAAACCTTCAACCCTACACCCGCAACCTTGAGAGGAGCACCCTAAACCCTAAACCCTGAACCGTAAACCTAAACTCTCAACCCTAAGAGGAGCCTCCTAAACACTAAACCTAAACCTAAACCTAAACCCTTAGAGGAGCCTCAACCCTCAACCCTAAACCCTCAACCCTAAGAGGAGCCTCAACCCTCAACCCTAAACCCTCAACCCTAAGAGGAGCCTCAACCCTCAACCCTAAGAGGAGCAGCCATGTGGCATTTGCCACAAACTGCATGTAAAGCTGGGGGAGGCCGTGCTTCATCCTTGGGCTACCAGAAAGGGCTTAAGGAGTTTAGGACGTAAGGGTTAAGGTTTAGGGTTTAGGGTTTCAGGGTTTAGGGTTTAGGGTTTAGGGATTACGGCTTTAGAGGGTTTAGGGTCCTTGAAGGATGTCCTAAGGGCTTCGGCTTAGGATTCAGGATTTAAGGGTTGCAGGTTTCCGGGATTAGGGTTTAGGGTTCTTCAAGGATGCCTTTAGGGCTTCTTTTACGGGTCCCCTAAAGACTCCTCAAAGAATTTCTTGACAGGGCTTCTGTAGAGGTTCCATAAAGCGCTACACAGGTCTCGGGGTCTGGAGTTTAGTGGGCGGCTTAGAATTTGGGCATTCAGGTTGTTCTTCGCAAGGCTTTCGGGTTTACAGAGAACCTTTCTGAGGTCTAGTGAGGCTTCGCGCTTGGGGCAGGTTGCTGGACTTTGGAGATAAGACTTTGAAGTAGCGGCCATAAAGTCAAAAAACTCGCTGTCCTCATGCGCGAAAGCTCTGAAAGCAAACTAGACTAACAGGTATGAAGTAAGGGGCCGTAAGAACTGGAATAGGTGTTGGGTTATGGTATACTACAGCTATAATAAGAAGGAGCCCTTAGCAATCTTGGTGGTTATCCCAACCCCTTTACTAAGCCTTACTAAGCCATGATAATAGCCGGTATAGAAATCCTTACAGCAACCATTAGAGAAGCCTTTCAGTGAACCCTTTCGAGTCAAACAACCACCACAAAATCATGCTCCGTCCTGTCTCCCACTCCTTGCGGCACACAGTACAAGGCTGGGCTCATGTAGACCCCTGGATAACTCTATCACCCAGACCCCCGGGAGGATCCAAAAAGTAGATCCAATGGGGGTTCCGATAAAGTACCCTTAGTAGTATAGGGCCCCAAATTAGGGGATCAACTTTCTGGATCCTCCCGGGGGTCTGGGCAATGGCAACTCCAGAAATGACGACCTCCGTGACTACTACTATCACTATCACTACTATTATTACTATTATTACTATTCTTACTATTATTACTATTATTACTATTACTACTATTATTACTATTATTACTATTATTACTATTATTACTATTATTACTATTATTACTATAATTACTATTATTACTATTATTACTATTATTACTATTATTACTCTTTACTATAAGGTTACCCATTGGCTTGGGGTGAAGGGTACTGGTGTTTTCGGGGTCTGGGAGGTTCCGAAAATGGGGGGTATCTTTATTTGGGGGTCCCTATAGTGAGGATCCTAGTATTTAGGGTACTATGTTAAGATCCCCTATTTTCGGAAACTCCCTATGTCGTCAGACAAAGCGGCATCAGCCACTGCCTCCAACCGTTGTGATCGAGCCACATGGCCGTGTCGCCTTGGGAAAGCCGCAGATGCACAGGACGGAACCCCAGATTTCGGCTTTATACGCCCCCCGGGCCGTTAAATTTGACCCGTTTGGGCTTTAAACGGTCCCCAGATTTCAGAATTAAGTGGGTTGGCGGCGAAATCTTCAAGTAGGTAGCCAAGGTGATATGATTTCGCGTCCGGGGTTTGGGTGTCGAGCTGATCATGTGGTTTCCTAAAGGTTCTGTCTTTTATAGGCTTTGGCTCGGAGTCACTGACATACGACAAAGACTCCCCGCTCCTGGATCTGCAGCTGCCCTCCGACTTCGTGCCTTTGCTGCTAAGGATACCTGCCTTCAACCTTAAACTCAAAATCCACAGACCCTAAACTCCTAAACCCCAAAACCCAACGACACAAACCCTTATGGAACCCTTTGAAGGGTTCAGGGCTTCCCCCAAGGGAACCCTTATTAGATGCGGGGACTTCGCTTTTGACACAAAACTTCCTGCGGGAGGCGGTGCTTAGCTGCGGCGGTCCCAACAGGCTTGGAAGGGGGGTTTAGGGTTCAGAGTTTATGGTTTAGGGCTTAGGGTTTCGGCTCGAGGGCGCCCCAGCCGCCCGCTATAATACAAACGTCTGAATGACTAGGCATACAGAAACATCCTTATTATGCCACAAAATACTCCCAAAAAGCCTACTGCAAGCATTGAGACTGGTCGGGCAACCTGCAGGCTCGGCCCTCTCCCGAAGATCCAACAAAACTTGGATCTCTCGCTATTGTGTGCGGCAGACCTTGCAGCATCGGCAGCTATCGTCTGCGTGACGAGTATGCATCAACACAACCTGGGTTCTTGCTAAGGGGTTTAGTTTAAGCTACCGTAATAAGGAAACCATATTATTTACTATAGATCCCTATTAACCAAAAAAGTGTACAGTGGAAAATGTATCCACTCAGCTACTAAGCCTAAGGCTCCTGACTCTACAGAGCCATCCATTCCTCGCCCCATTGACACCACCTCCGCTTGTAATGTTGCCTTCTGTTCGTGCGGGGCCTGCTTTGGCAATTTCCACGAGATTGGTTCTTTCATCGTCCGCCCGTCCTGGGCAAAAGGTTTATTGCGTCCAAAGAAATGTTATGGCGGTGCTCAAGCAATCCGTAATGACCAGCTTCTGAGTAAGCGTCGCGGATCCCACGTGGTCAAGCCTTACTCGACCGTGGATTGTCGCTGCTTCTGCTGTCCAAAATCATCCACCCACTTCTCTGCTGACCTGCGTAACTTAAGTACCTGCTGCTCGTCTGTCAAGGACATGTCTGAGGCTACCCACCGTGAATGTGTCGATGCCACTTGCAGCGTGTGAGACAAAAACATCACCAGTTTCCCCTGATTGTAACAGCACCTGTCCGTTGTTTTCTATCTCACTTTCGCCGCCAATGAGTAAGAGTCCGACTACCCCGTAATAAAAACCCTACATCACGTGGGAGGTTCCGAAAATTCGGGGTATCTTATTTTGGGGTCCTTATAATAAGGATCCTAGTATTTAGGGTACTATACTAGGGTCCCCTATTTTCGGAAACTCCCACATACTGCTCCACTTTATTCGACCTTGTAAAACTCCAAAACCCGGCGAATAATGACCCGAAAGACTCAATCCCAACCCTGTTATAGTCATCCTTGCAGCACACCTCTAGCCTCTTGCAGAGAGCTTGAGGGAACCCTTTAAAGGAACCGCAAACCCCAAACCCCTTAAAGGAACCCTTTAAAGGAACCCCCTTATGTATCCATCAGAGTCACCAAGAAAGGTGTCGACACAGAGAAGGCAGGGCTTTCCCTCTCCAGGCAGCGAACCTGGTTTGCAGATGGAGGATAATGTAGGAACCTGATTAAGAAACCTGGGGTCCTTACAGTAGAAGCCAGAAAGTTGGAATATCATTATCGTAACCCCTTTAAGGTAAATTATAGGGGATCCTACCATTAGTCCATATTCCAACTTTCTGGCTTCTACTGTATTAGGGTTCTTAATAGTATTCACGGACATCTGTCGGTCAGAGAAGCGAGTCGAACGATCCTGGAGGCACTTTGGCCGATCTCTATAAGGGTTCTTCATATGGATCCTCATATTGGGGTACGGGTCCTAATATATTGGGGTGAAAGCGCCAAGGTTTTGCAGCTGGGGGATAAGGGTAATTAGTGGATTCAACAGGGCACCTTACAGGGATCGATAAGAGTTTTAAAGGGTTTCTATAACCTGGTTTTGTAAGGTTTTGTAAGGTTTAGGGTAAGTGTGGAAGTTTAGGGTTTAGGAGTTTAGGAGGCCGTAGGGCTTTGTAGGGTTGCCTGAGGGCTTTACCGGAATCTGTAGCGGCGTATGAGTGTAGGGTGCCAGGCTTGCATACTCGTTTCATAGATACTGAACTTAACCAAAAACTTACAACTACGGTTGATGATATAAATCCTGCATTACCCATGATAAGGAATATACCGTAATTTCCATAGCTTTAGGGTCCTTAAGGTAATGCAGGATTTATATCATCAACCGTAATATGACCAAAGATTAAGAAGTATTGTTAAGTACCCCGAAGTTATAGGGCCGTTTTGGGTATAAGGGCCTGCACGGGCTCCTTTAAGCGATCCCGCTCAAGGGGTCCTGTTGAAGGGGGATGCCTTGTGAGGGTTCTATAAGGGTTTCAAGGACGACGCAGTTTGCAGGGCTTGATTATGAGCTTTTTGCGATGTAAGATGACAGGAGACTTAGATTTTTTTACTAAGGTTTGACGAAGGCTTCATGGGTGCTTACGGGGTTTCGGGGGGTTTCGGGCCGTGGAGTTCAGGGTTCACTCCCAATCATCTCCCTTGAGAGACAAGCACATTCCTGAAACTTTAGCAGTGGAGACCGCTGATTGATGAACCCGATCCTAAACCCACACCCCCCAGAAGGATCTGAAGCACGGGAACCCCATGAACCTCCAAGTAAGCCCTAAACCCTAGACCCTTGTAGATTCCCTATAGATCCCTTTAGAGGGACCCTTTAAGGAACCCTATACCCCTATAGAATCCCTATAGATCCCTTTAGAGGGACCCTTTAAGGAACCCTATACCCCTATAGAATCCCTATAGATCCCTTAGAGCTGGAGGAGCGGCAGAGCAGGCGGAAGGTTGCAGGACCGCGCACAAAGACACAAGCGTCTGCGGAGACGAACAGAGCTTGAACCAGGACTCTATGTTTGAAGCCTCTAGGTTCCCTGGGATCGGGAAGCACTAGCACGCTTCGCAGGTGCCACCTTTGCCTTTGGGTTTGAGGGTCAAGCTCCTTGGCCCGTTTCGGGTGTTGTTGCAGAGCTTCCTTTACCTCTGTGGACTGCGAGTATGCAGGCTGCCGGGTAGTGAGATGCCCTCCGAGGAACCAACTCCCGAGGCTTTGTGTTTGGACGCAGGTCACGACGAGGCTGCCATCAGCGGCCCTGACCTTGAAAACCTAAACCCTAAACCCTACACCCTAAACCCTAAACCCTTCAACTAGTCTTGCAAGGTCTTCGCAGAGTCGGACCCCTCTGGCGGATGAGCTTCTGCGAACTCCTGCGGCACGTCCGGCGCAGTATACTGCGAATCCAACTTCTTTTGTCTCCATCTGATTCTGAACATCTGCCGTCAACCGATGCTTCCAGACAGGTGGGAGGTTACCCTGTGTGGGTGCTTCGGTGGATGATACAAATCCTGCATTACCTTAAGGACCCTCAACTATGGGAATTATGGTATATTCACTTATTATGGGTAATGCAGGATTTATATCATCAACCGTTCCACATTTTAGATCCTTTAAGGGGTCGGGGCACTACTCGGGCATCTACAGCAGGGGGAAGTGGAGTCTTTGGATTGGTATAATCTTCAGCAAAACCCTGTAAAACCCCAAAAGTTTCGGGTATTGGGGCATCAGGGGATCTACCGAAAACCCCAAACCCATCAATGTATGCGAGAGGAACCCCCCCGTTTACAGCCTTGAGTCCTAAACTAAACCCTAAACCTTTTACCATACAGTAGCATACATCCCATCCATCCAACCCTCCGTCCGTCCGTCCCCCATACAGACACACATGCACACACACACACACACACACACACACACACACACATATATATATATATATATATATATGTACCTATATACAGATATATGCAGAAACACATCACACACACACAACATACAACATGGGATATCCAGGATCCCCACAACCACATTTCTACCTAAACCCGAAACCCCTGAACCCGTAAACGCCTAAACCCAAAACGCCTAAGCCCTAAAGTCCACTGAAAGGAAGCCTTATCGGACCCCTTGAAATGAAGCCTTATAGGACCCCTTTGAAGGAAGCCTTATAGGACCCCTTTAAACCATCCCTTAAGCAGACCCGAAAGCCCAAAAAAGGAACCCCGAAACCCTGGCCTTCCCGCGCTCCAGGCCCCTGCCTGACCCCTAGGACTCCCTGAAACCCCTGAACCCCATGTGGGTGGTTGTCAAAGTTAGGGTCCCTTCTTGGGTACCTTAAGTATTCGGTGCTGTATTATCATAGGGACCCAAAAAGGGGCCATTATTTTGACAACCACCCATGTAAGTTGAACTGCCGCAAACCCTGAACCCTATAGATCCCTTCAAGATCCCTTGAAGGAACCCGCAAGGATCCCTTATAGGAACCCCTAACCCCTAAACCCCTAATACTAAGACCCCAAACTCCTAGACACCATGTCAAGTGTATAATGCAGTATAATACCCTATAGATCCTTAAAGGAATCTTGAAGGATCTTGTAAGGATCCCTCATACTCCTAGACCCCATGTAAGCTGAACCTCCCAAACCCTAAACCCTATTGATCCTGTATAGGAACCCTTATAGATCCCTTTATAGGAGCCTTTGGGTAGAACCCTCAAGGACCCCTTTAAAAGCCCCCTACGGGCTCCCTTTACAAGGACCCCAAACTCCTAGAACGCCTGTAAATAAAACTTAGTTGCTGAGTTCACAAGCCCCCAAAAAGATCCAAAAAGTGTAGACTTTCAGTTTTTATAGTGGGTAGTATTATCCAAAAAAAGGTGTACAGTGTATCCACTCAGCTACGAAGGCTGAAGAAAGCCTGCAAGAAAGACGCATCGGGGAGTTTCCGAAAATTATGGGTGCCTTACTTTGGGGCCCTTATAATAAGGATCCGACTATTTAAGGTACTATATTCGGGTCCTCTACGCCCGGTGGCTCGCCGCGGCAGCGGCGATGCGCCGGGCGCTGCCGCCCTTGAAGGAACCCAACCTCGACCCCTTTTTTGGGGCTTGTGGGATGCTAGGGTCTAAGGATCCCTTTGAGGGATCTTCAAAAGGGTTCCTTTGGAGGGATCTATTTAGGGTTTTAGGGTTTAGGGTTCAGTGGTTTATGGGTTTTTGTGGGGTTTAGGGTTTAGGGTTTGGTCAAGGAGCCTCGAGCCGTTTGGGGCTTGGGGAGGATTGTAGGGCTCCTTAAAGGGATCTTTAGGCTTCTATAAGGGGTCTATAAGGGTTTGAAGTTGGCGGCTTTGGGGGTCTAGGGTTTAAACTTTCAGGTTTAGGGCTCCAGGTCTGCCCCCTTTTGGGGCTTAGGGGGTCTAGGGTTTGAGGCTTAGGAATATGGGTTCAAGGTTTCGGGGGTTGAGAGTTTAGGGGTTTGGGTTTAGGGGTTTGGGTTTGAGGCTTTAAAGCCTCGGGCTTGGCCTACAAGGTTTTTTTTTAAGAGTGTGTTGGGCCTTTCTCCGCAGGTCGAGGCGCACTCCCGCCTACAAGGTTTAGGCTTCAGGGAGTGGGAGGTTTCTGATGAACATTGTGTCGAACGCAGGCGGCTTGGATTTTTCAGTGGAGCTTACGGTTTAGGGTTTAAGGTTTAAGGTTTACATGGGTTAATCAAGTTATAGTTGGCTTGTGGGGGGCTTCATGGACGTTGACAGAGGGTCTAAGAGAGATGTTACAGGGGTTACTTGGGTTAACGAGTTTGAGAAGACTTTATAAGATTCTTGAGGGGCTCTTGATGTGGGTATACCTTGGACTTTTTGGAAAAATCTTAAACCCTCGCGTGCTCAAACTAACGGGCTGTGTCTCTGCTTTTTCCAGGGTTCTACAAAGGCTTTGTAACGTAGCTCCTTTGCAGAATACTTATGGTCAAGACTCCCAAGGAATAATACCAGGCAACGAGGCGAGAGGTATATAAAGCGGTTTAACGAAGCATTCTCAAAGCTTGTCATTCTGTATAAAACCGCGTATAATCACTCATCTACTTCTTGGATCCTCACACCCTAAACCCTAAACCCTAAACCCCTAAACCCCTAAACCCTAAACTCGACCCTACTGCAGACCCCAGGAGTTCCGTTTGGGGATCACGACACTTTGATGGACCTTTAAGGGATTTACTTATTGCCAGCGCTCCGGGAGGAAAGCTAAGCCGAGAGACTCAAACCCTTAGTATGAAAACAACACCCTAAACCCTTAAAGGAGCCCTTAAAGGAAGCCTTAAAATAAAGCGAAGCCCAGCGTCTCTATGAGGAAGCTGGCTTTGAGCTTCCGGAGGAGATCCTCCGAGGGAGTAGGGGTTTAGGCTTTAGGGTTTAGGGGTTTAGGGTTTAGGGTTCAGGGTTTAGGGTTTAGGGGAAGAGGGTGGGGGGTTTACGGATAAAGAAGAGGGTCTGGAGGTTTAGGGTTAAGAAGAGCGTTTGGCGTTTAGGGTTCAGAGGAGGGTTTGGGGGGTTAGGGTTTAGAAGAGGGTTGGGGGTTTAGGGTAGAGAAGAGGGTTTGGGGTTTAGGGTTTAGAAGAGGGTCTGGGGGCTTAGGGTTTAGAAGAAGGTTGGGGGTTCAGGGTTAAGAAGAGCGTTTGGGGCTTGGGGTTTAGAAGAGGGTTGGGGGTTTAGGGTTTAGAGGATAGTTTGGGGTTTAGGGTTTAGAAACAAGGGTTGGGGGCTTAGGGTTTAGGGCTGTGCAATAAGCTTCTCGGTGTTTACAAAACGTGTTGCCGGGTTGTGTTCAGTTGTTCTCATTCTTGCATCTCTTTGGGTGCTCTTATTTGAAAGAGGTTTTAAAGCGGTTTACAAGGGTTTGTATAAAGGCTTTGGGACATTAGTGGTTTTCTGTGCTTCTTGGGCCAAGGGGAATTTGAAGCAACCTCCTGGCTTTCAGGGTTTTCCTCAAACGCCTTAAGACTGAAATCCCCCTCCTCTAATAGCCCTGGATTTGTAACTTGTTGCGACGCCTTGGGCTTTCGAGGTTTCTGGGTTTTTTGCTTCAATAAGTCTCCTGAGCAATCACGAGAATCTGAGGATTGCTTTGCATAGCGACATTGGAATTAGGAGCAGTCGACATGCTGCACACCGAATATGTTGGAAGGCTTCAGAACCGGTATGGCAAGAAGTCTACTACTAGGACAACTGAGTTAAGCCATGGAAGAAATGCTACACAAAGAGAAAAAAATCTCCACACATACAGATGCAAAGGGCAGCCCAGACACAACGAAAGAAATGCCAGAACAAAGCATACCAGGCAGCTTCTGCTTGCAAGCGTCTGAATGGCGACTAAACACACCCAGAGACTCCAATGTCCCTTAATCAAGGAATATACCTTAAGTTATAGTTCTAGTACAGTTTTAATGCATATTCCTTAGTTATTAGAACCCCGTAAACCCTAAACCCTATAGATTCCTTAAAGGAACCCTTAAGGATCCCTTTACAGGAGCCCTAGGTATATTCCTTAACTAAGGGATATTGGAGTGTCTCTGCAGTAGACAGGAAAAGAGCCTCAGTCCCTGAAACACCCGAGTCAAAGCCACTTCCCCACAATCAAAACTTCGCGAAGGACGTTTGGCTTGAGGTTTATGTCCTAATCTAATAATAGGATCTTGATTACAATGACACCAAAATAAGGTATCTTGAGGTTTATGTAGTAGGTTGGTTTAGGAGTTTTAGGGTTCCTTTACGGGTCGTGTTTAGGGTTTAGGGCTTTGGGGGCTTAGGGGCTTTAGGACGGCACTTAAACCCTGAACCCAGAACAGACAAAGTTGGATCCCCTGAACCCTATGCCCCTAAAAAGAAACAACGGGTTTAGGGTTTAGGGTTTAAGGCGATCGATAGAGTCCTGCCGTTCCTGTGGCGTTCGCTCTTGCAACTCCACTTGTGTAGCATGAGCTGCGAGCTGCAACTCGTGCGCCCACTCGTGTGCCTTGCTTAGCCTTGCACTGGATTCGCGCCTGTTCATGCGACTTACCAGTACAACCAATTGCGGCTTCACGCACGTCAGCCCAATCCAACGCCGCGCCGCTTCGAGTTGATGGCCGTTGATGGTCGGGTGGGGGTTCGAACGACGCACCTTGCGCGGATGCCACAGTTTGAATGTGCAGCAGATCACGTTGGTACCCCGCAGGAAGCCACTGCCCCGGAAGACTGCACATGACTGCCAGCAGGTGTTCCAACGCAGCCTTCCCTTGGGCTCCCCCTAAACCCTAAACTTCTGAAACCCTTAAACCCTAAACCCCTAAACGCTCAAAACCCCTAAACCACAAAAAAAACCCTAAACCCCAAACTCTTAGAACCTAAACCGCGAACCTTTGGGCTCCGATTAGAATAGGGTTCCCGGGGTCCTTCTAAGGGGACTATGGTGGGACACGACTACAGTGACTACAGTAATACTTATTCCGACCTTACTATTATTGTCAGCAATGGGTCACTGGCCTGCATGCGGTTTTGGGGCATTGGTATTGTTGAACATCTATTTAGCGACTATAAGGGGTGAATTGGACCAGGGGCTTGGGGGTTCATGCTGACCTCGAGAAATTCCGACGGAACGTTGGTGTGAAGATACCTGGGACGGAGGCAAACATAGGAGCTTAAAAGTTAGAATAGGGTTTTGGGGCCCCTTTTCCTGTATCCATAATAAGGGTCCCACATCAGTCGGTAAATGCCCCTAGGCGCAATGGCGTAATCCTCTGCTTTCCGGTTATCAGTAAGCACACTACGAGCACTTCTTGTTAGGGTGCTCCTTATTCCGAGTGTGATGCTGCGGGCTAAGTTGGTTGATTATGATGACGATGACTTTTGATGAGGATTAGGATGGCGGAGGAGGAGGAAGAGGAGGATGAGGAGGACGAGGAGGATGAGGAGGATAATGGTGATGACGATGGTATTTCCTGCTCCGACACACCTGGTCTAATTTAAGCTCGTAGTCTCGAGAAGTTTGGGGCCTTGAACGAGCGCTAGTTTGTGATAATATCCCTCTATATCCTCTATATAGCTATTGCACAAAATACACCAAAGCCCTATATAACTATTGCATAATATCCCTTATTGCCCCCGTATAACTACTGCATATTACATCCCAGAGCCCCAGTTAGTGAGACTATCCCTTTATGAACCCTACAGAACTATTGCACAACATACCCCCAAAAAGCCCTAAACCCTAAACCCTAAGCCCCAAACCATAAACCCTAAACCCCAAACCCCAAAGCCCTAGTTTAGTGTGTGGCACTTAAGTCCTTGGCAATTAGGTCCAACTTGCGGCGTGTTGTTGACAGGGGTCCTGCTGAAGCTAGCCGGGTACCTCAAAAAGGGGACCATATTTTGTAATATAGTACAACAAAAGATTACATCTGATATAGTATAAGCCAGGATACCACAGATGATCCCATAAGATGTGGAGTCTTGTTCGAGATTTCGGGCTCAGCGATGTAACTGTGACAGATTGCTTCCTCTGCTAAAGCGTAGAAGTATGTATGACCGCATGCTACGTAAGGAGCTGCAGCTAGCTTTTCTTTGACAGCAGACCCTCTAGCCGAAACCCCCAGCCCCAAACAACACTGAGGCTGACTTGTACAACACCGTAAAGAACCCCCTTATAGAAACCTAAAAAGCCTCAGACGGGCTCCTACTCGCGTTACGATAAGGGTTGCTATTCGTGGCAGCGTTTCCTGGGTTTAGGTTCAGAGCTTTTCGGGTTTCGAGCGGCTAAGAGGCTGAGTACTTATAGGTTCATGGGGCTATTAATAATAAGGTACCTATTTTTATAACTAATTGTAACCCCAGTTAAGGCACTTACAACTGTAGTGATTAAGTCCCATAAACCTCCAAGCAAGGATACCTTACGAGCCTTAATTGGGTTCACAATCGCGACCAAACTGTGAACCCGGCATTAGACGGTCCCGACCCCTAAGTACAGGAGCCTATATCATCAGAAAACAGTAATCCACAGCGATTCTCTGACAACGAGAAACACCGAAACCCCAGAGCTAAAACCCTACTGTCTTCTAGAAAGCCGTATTACAACCTTAACTAAACCCCAGACCTTTAAAACTAAGAATGCTAAACCCGAAACCCTAAACCGCCCAAACCCTTAGCCCCAAACCCCCAGAGAGCCCTTTATGCAACCTTGCAAGCTTATACGTAAAAGCCAGAAAGTTGGAATATCATTATCCTAAACCCTTTATGGTAAATTATAGGGTATCCTACCCTGAAACCATGTTCCAACTTTCTGGAGTTCCCTGTAAAAGAACCCTCAAAAGGGAACCCCACATGCATCCTGCGAGCCCTACTTAAAGGTTCACGGGACTTGGTAGCTAGGGTTATAAATACGGGAACCCTAAACCCTAAACCTTAAAACTACTTTTATAACTACTTATAACCCCAGATAAGGCACTTAAACCTGTAGTTACTAAGTCCCATATACCTCCAAGTATCCCAGGGCCTTCCCGGATGAAAAAAAGGCAGATCCCCTAGTTCGGGACCCTATACAGTATAATAAAGTTGGAAACCGGATTAAGGCCAAATAGTGCTGGGATTCCCTCTACATGACTCTGAGGGATGGAGGCTACTGGGTTTCCAACTCTTGGGCTTCTACTATATACGGGTAGTTCTCTGAAGTAGGACTATTTGTACTATTGTGGGGACCTGAACAGGGGTCCTAGTTTAGAGAACTACCCATATTAATAAGGGAAACGCTGAAGGAAGCCCGGGTTAGGGTTTTTGGTTTGGGGCCTTCAGAATGTCTGGAACCAAAGCTAAACGCTACTGCCGTATAGGAAGCCATATTAAAACCCTAACTAAACCTCAAACCCAAAAAGTAAGAACGCCAAACCCCAAGCCCCATACGGCACCATACTCGACTTATTCAAGGTCATAGATTCGGGGGTAGGACACAGCCACGGTGCGAGTGGTCTGGAGCGGGAAGATCCCGCCGAAACACGGAGTCGAAGGGAGAAGGGCCGCCATACCTGATGGGGTTTAGGGGTTGGGGTTTAGGGTTGAGGGTTGAGGGTTGAGGGTTGAGGGTTTAGGGTTTAGGGTTTAGGGGTTGGGGTAGGGGTTGAGGGTTTAGGGTTTAGGGTTTAGGGGTTTAGGAGTTTAGGGGTTTAGGGGTTTAGGCTTAGGGAGGGGTGTTTATCAGGGTTTGCAAAGGCTTGACGGATAGAGGGGTCTGACAAGGGTTTTATCAGGGTACTAAATGGCTCTACACCAGGAATTATATGGTTTTATAAGGGCTTTATAGGGGGTCTATAAAAGCTTTACAAGGGTTTCAATCTGAGTTTAAGATGCTTGAGGTTTAAGGTTTGTGATTTCAACGACAAGTTACAGTTCTGGGCTGTAGTGTGGGTTTGTTATGCGCGTCGTAAGGTACACTTGAGGGTCGTTGGCAGGGCCCTCAACCCTGAACCCTGAACTACGGGCTTTAGGCTTTAGTTCCGGGAGTCTCCCTTAGCCCGAAACCCCTACTTGCAGGTTCAGGTGGCTTTTAACTCTAGTAACTCGGGTTATAAGCAAGGCAGCTATGCCTTTGCTCCTAGCTCCAATCAACGGACTTATGAACTTACCTACTGCGTCCCTAAACTCCTAAACCCTAAACCCCTAAACCCTAAATCCCTAAACCCCCAAACCCCAAAACCCCTAAACCCCTAAACCCCTAAACCCCTAAACCCTAAACCCCTAAACCCCGAAATCCTAAACTCTAAACCCTAAACCCCTAAACCCTAAACCGTGTTACACTCTAGGAGTTTGGGAGTTTATGCAAGCAGTCAGCCGACCATCCGAGCTACAGCGATGCTTGGCTTGGGCTTTTTCATTCCTTGTAGGGTTCTCTAAATAGCTACTTAGAGGTTCATGGGACTGAGTAACTAGGGTTACAATTAAGGTAACTACACTTATATGTACTTGTAGTCCCAATTAGGGTACTTATAACTGTACTTACTAAGTCCCATGAACCTCCAAGTACTACGTATAAAGATTCTTTGTTAAAAGGGTTACTACTTATTTAGGCTTCTTTAAAAGCTACTACTTACAAGATTCTTTGTTAAAGGGTTACTACTTATTAAGGGTTCATTAAAAGGGCTACTACGAAAAAGAGTCTTTGTTAAAGGGGTCTGGAATTAGTTTGGGATTTTATTTTTTTTGGGGGCATTTTTTTTCTTTGTGGTTTGCTTGGCCGTGTTGCATTGCCTTGCAGGGCACCGAAGATCGTGGGGGTTCCTTTCTGAGCCTGCAGATTTACAGCTGAGGGTTTGGGGCGTTGGGATTGGGTTTTAAACTCAGGGCTTTGAAATCGAACCTGTGTATGGTGCTGCGTGCTCAGTTCTGATACCATGGATTGCTCCTACGTTTGTTTCTCATGTTGCTATTGCTGCCCCTGTCGTGTTAAGTCTTGTGGCCCCTGTCAGCACCCTAAGCCGAAACGCTAAATTTAAACCCTAAACTCTTTGCACTAAACCCTACACCCCATACCCTAAACCCTGAACCCCAAACCCAAAAATTTTCCGCGCCCACTCTAGGCCCACAGAACAAGTCCTACATCCGAAAACCTCAAATGCCGCCTAGCTCTAAACCCAACAAGACCCCTAGTAGTAGAAGTAGTAGTAGTAGTAGTAGTAGTTGTTGTAGTTGTAGTTGTAGCACCAGTCGCAGTAGCAGTCGCAGTAGCAGTAGCAGTAGTAGTAGTAGTAGTAGTAGTAGTAGTAGTAGTAGTAGTAGTAGTGGTAGTGCTAGTAGTAGCAGTAGTAGTAGTAGTAGTAGTAGCACTGGTAGTAGTAGTAGTAGTAGTAGTAGTAGTAGTAGTAATAGTAGTAGTCGTAGTAATGGCAATAGCAACAGCAATAGCAATAGCAATAGCAATAGTAATAGTTGTCGAAAATAGGGGACCCTCATAGTACCCATAAAACAGTAGGATCCTTATTGCGAGGCGCCCAAAATAAGGTACCCCTAATGCCCTCATTTGCTGGGTTTCAAAAAAAGGCATATGAATCAAAGCAACCCTGCACGGCTTAAAACAGCGGGGGGGTTGGGGGGGGCGCAGCCCCCCCCATTTGCAGAGACAACGTTCACATGATGGGCTTCGAAAACACTCTTTGAATCAAGCTTGCACGTCTCGAAAAGCGCGGCGGCGGGTGTTTTGTTCTTCCGTGCCTGTTCGTGTCTCTTCTTCCGTTAGCATTCTAACCTAATATATATAACATAGTAAACCAGAAGAACGACATAAGATGGTTCGACAACACAAAAATGGTGTGACATTTTCTGACATCACAGAACCTTGCTTCTTATAGCATATAATAGCATACTAAAAATACAACAATACAATATAACAGAAGATGACATAGAACAAAACAACATCTTAGTTTATAGTGTAGTACATTGTAACATAGTACAGTACAGTGTGTATATTTACAACATAATATGTAGTATATTTTTAGGTTACATTTTACATTATGTTATATTATGTTACGGTACATTACGATATTATGGTAAATTCGATTGGGCTATGTAGTATCCTGTTGCTTGTATCTTTGTTTCTGTGATTTTTTCATATTCTTTCTCTTTCGTATTTTCCAACTTTGCTTTTTTATTCTGGACTTCTTTCTTTCTTTCGCTCGTTCATTTCTTTTCTTTCTTTCTGTTGTTCTTTCTTTGTTCATCTCATACTCCCTTCCTTTCTTTCTTGCTTTCCTTTCTGGTTTGATTTATTTCGTTCTTTCTTTGGTTCGTTCTTTCTTTCGTTCTTGCGTTCGTTCTTTCTTTCGTTTTTGCTTTCGTTCTTTCGTTCTCTCTCTCGTTCTATCTTTCTTTCTTTCTTTCTGTTTTCCTTGTTTTCGTCCTCTTTAGATACAGCAATTCTTGAATTTTTCCCAGGGGAAACACTGTTTTCATACGGATTCGTTTTCATTTCCTGAGGATTTGCTTGGTTTTTTGTTCGGGAAAACACGATTTTCCTACGGATTCCGTTGTATTTCCTTAAGTTTCTTTCTTTAGTTCTTGCTTTCGTTCTTCCTCTTGTTTTTGCTTTCGTTCTTTCGTTCTCTCTCTCGTTTTTTCTTTCTTTCTGTCTTTCTTTCTTGCTTTTTAGATACAGCAATTCTTGAATTTTTCCAAGGGAAAACACTGCATTTTTCTTTCGTTTCCTAAGGATTTGCTTGGTTTTTCTTGGGGAAAATACGATTTTCCTACGGATTCCGTGGTATTTCTCTAAGTTGTCAACTCTCTTTGGTTCTTTCCTTGTGTTTTCTTTTTTCTTTCCTTGTAGCTTTCTTTCTTTACTTAGTTCTCTATTTTTGTTTTCTTTCTTTACTTATAGCTTTCTTTATTTACTTATTTCTCTGTTTCTTGCATGGCTTTCTTTCTTTCTTTCGTTGTTTCTTTATTTCTTTCTTTTGTTATTTCTTTCTTTCGTTGTTTCTTTATTTCTTTATTTCGTTCTTTCTTTCGTTCTTTCTTTCTTCCTTGCTTTCTTTCTTCCTTTCTTTCTTTCGTTCTTTCTTTCTTTCCTTCTCTCTCTCTCTCTCTGTCTTTCGTTCCTTTTTCCCCTTCCTTTCGCGGATACCCGTTTAATTTTTTTATCCTTATTTAATTTTTTTTGATCCTTATTTAATTTTTTTTGATCCTTATTTAATTTTTTTTTAACCCCTATCCCGCTTTACTGACCTAAATTCGCCTCGGCTCGGCTTAGGGTTGAGGGCGTGACTTAAGGACTGATTTATGAGGCTCTCTATGCCGAAGAAAAAAGCCAAGAAGCCGAAAAGCCAAGAAGGGCGGGGTTTTTTTTTTTTCAGAGGTGCGGCCAACCCTTTTTTTTCCGAGGTGCGGCCAACCCTTGGTTTAAGGTTGGACACGCAGGATCCCTGTAGAGGGTTCATCGGGGACGTAAAGAATTTGCGCCGCACCACAGCGCCAGCGCTTTGACACGCAGGATCCCTGTGGAAGGTTTATCGGGGACGTAGAAAACTTGCACCGCACCACAGCGCCAGCGCTTCGACGCACAGGATCCTTGTGGAAGGTTCATCGAGCACGTAGAAAATTTGCACCGCACCACAGCGCCAGCGCTTCGACGCGCAGGATCCCTGTGGAGGGTTCATCGGGGACGTAGAAAATTTGCACCGCACCACAGCGCCAGCACATCGATGCGCAGGATCCCTGTGGAGGGTTCATCGGAGTTTCCTTGATGTCGTCGTGGTCGTCGTCCTGGTTGTTGTTGTTGTTGCTGTTGCTGTTGCTGCTGCTGTTGCTGTTGCTGTTGTTGTTGATGATGATGTTGCTGTTGGTCGTGGTTGTTGTTGTTGCTGCTGTTGTTGTTGTTGTTGCTGTTGTTGTTGTCGTTGGTTGCTGTTGTTGTGGTTGTGGTTGTGATTGTGTTTGTGGTTGACAGGGTGAGGGATCAAAAAAAACTTAATTAAGGATCAAAAGAATTAAAGCACCAGGATCAAAACAAAATAAAACAAGGATCAAAAAAGATTAAGTCACGTAAAATACAGCAATTCCTGGCGCAGAGGCATCAAAAAACACCTTAAAATAAGGATCAAAGAATTGAATCACTCAAAATACAGCAATTCCTGAATTTCCCAAGGGAAAACACTATTTTCCTATAGATTTTCTTTCATTTCCTTAGGATCTGACTGGTTTTTCCTCGGGAAAACACGATTTTCCTACGGATTCCGTGGTATTTCCTGAAGTTTTCCTTGGTTTTCCTGGGAAAAACACCATTTGTCTATTACCTATGGCGTTCGTATCATTTCTTCAGATTTTCAGAAGGAAAACATACGTTATCTTTGGTTGTTCCTCGGGAAAATCAAATTTTCGTTACAATTTCGCATTTAGGACGGATTTCGTGTTGTAGCTCTTGCTGGTATTCCGCTTCATCACCTATCTTAAACACCCCCCCTCATTTGGCGATTCTGGTTCAGCGGGGGGGTTGGGGGCTGCGCCCCCCCCCCCCCCATTTGCAGACACAACGCTCACA